TTGTAAAGTCTCTAATCAACTTTAAGTTTCCAAGAGCCATATATGTACCTGTAAGTCTCTGTAGACACTGGTCGCTGTCTCTACAGAGTCNAATTCTGCAATAGCATAACTGCTTGAACGATTTTTTCCATCCTTTAGATACTTTATAATCTGCATATCAGGAAAAATAAAGGANTTTTTTTTTTNAAAAAGACTTCATGGTTAAGAAAGAGCACATCATGTGTTTAGCAATGGACAAGAACTTTACCTTGACACTCATAATCTTTCCCTGCTTCTTCATCAGTTCAGTCAAATGCTTCTTCAAACTCTCATCACTTGTCTTGATGCTCATATTATTAATATAAAGAACATTTGACTGCAATGTAATGAATTATTTATAGGAAGAACATATGAATACACAGTATTTTGCAGCTATCATAACTTGACAAACCTCAGTTCTATCCAGATCCATTCCAAACTGCTGCTCAAGGTTGGCTCTTCTCAAAACATTTTCTCCAACATCAATCTTCTTTTCGTTGTTACCGGAAAGTGTTTTCGGCTCAAGAATATCTTCAGGAGCCCACTCCAGATACAGNGGAGCATCTCTGTAATAATAGAGAAATGTGGTGAACCAGCTTGGTTTAACTAGCACCGTCATCTATCTCCAAGAAGCACATAAACGATAATGGTGAATCTTACATGTAACGCTTGTATGCCATTTTCNTCATAGCTGCACGTGCCTCGGTAGGTTCAAGGAAAACAACCTGAAGGGTCATGCAAGGACATGTTAGAGAACAATCAACTATTGTATCGAAGTAGAANGAACACATATATAGATAGAAAGAAAGATACCAAGGCCATCGCCTTTGTGGGAGGGAGAATAATTCTGTCTAGACTTCCAAATTTTCCAAACATTTGAGCCAGTTCCTTTTCAGAAGTAGCAAATGACAAATTCTTCACTAAGAGGATATGATTGCTTCGGATCTTCTCTTTGCCTTTCCCTGTAGCAAATTCTTCCAAAGAAGTGACATTTACTCCAGCTTTAGCAAGTGCTTCTTTGGTCTCTGCAATCACTTTTGTTTCTCCCAAAGCAAGGCGTACAGCAGGATCTTCAGATTCACGGTCAAGTAACTCACTCTTGCTTACGCCATACATCCTGACCATGTTTTCTAGAANCTACAACACAGACATGAAGCAAAGCAAGGTCAGAGGTCAGGCTTTTAAGGACATTAATGGATTGATAATGCATTTCTTTGAAACAAGAAAGAAAAAAGCGCACAGTATCGGGTTGGATGAATAAACTGTTCCAAGCCTTTGTATTTCCACTGGCTTCAGATGCCTTTCTTTGTTCCTCCCTCTTTTTCTTGAATGTTTTTGGCAGATTACAAGAGTCGTTTCTGTTAGGAAAAGCNGCTTNTTTATCAGANGTTTCACGGGGTTNGGCTGGTTTAACACTCAAACACCTCCCCTGGAAAGCCGAGTTATTCAACTCTTTCATCGCCCTGCATCACCATCCAAACGATCTAAAACCTGAACTAACAGCTAAAGATCAACATAAGTTTTGGCATGAGATACTCTNCCTCAATGCGGATTCTGGAATCGGGTAATGGATGTAGGCAAACCCTTTGGACCTTTTAGTCTCCTTGTCAAG